CGCCGCGGCGCGAGACACCTCACTTCCGGCCCGGCCCGCACCACCCGCTGCCCGCGGGGAGGGGAGGATTGAGGGATTTCGCTCCCTCCCAGCTCCCCCCCACACACCGCTCCCCGCAACAACGGCTCCTCTCTCTAGAAATATTTAATGACCCCTTTTTCTCCCGTTGCGCGGCGCAGGAGGCCAGGAAACTCAGCAAACCCGCTGCGTTCCCCCCCGCATGCCCGTACTTGGTACGGCCCGAGCCGCCCCGCAGTCGGAGCCGGTGGGGGCGGGAACGCCGAGGGTCCCGTGTCTCGCGCTGATTGGCCAGTCCCGGCCCTGCTCAGCCAATCAGAAAAATTCGTCGCGCGACGCCGCTTGGCCGGCGGTTGTTGCTATGGGAGGGGAGGCGCGGGCGAGGGAGAACGACCCCCTTCAGTCCCCGGGGGCGCCCAAGCTGAGCCGGGAGTTGACTTTTTTCGCCTTTTTTTCCACGCCTCGCCTCACACTCGAGGCTTCGTGCCCCTTTATTCCCTCGCAAACCCCCAAACGCCTCGCGCGGCGCCGCGGCCGCCCCACCCTTCACACTTCGCCCCTCACGGCGCTCAGCCAATCAGCGGTGTCGCCTCCGCGCTCCGCGCCTCTGATTGGCTGACATCGCCCAGAGTCCCGCCTCCTTGCCGTTGACAGACAGCGGCAGCTGAGGGGGCGGGGAAAGAGGCGTGGCTTAGTACTTTCTCCGCCTTATGATTGGCTGAAGACGTAGTTGGGGTGGGTTTATCGTGGCTCCGCCCCCCGCTCCCCTGAGGGAAAAAGGCGGGAAAGGGCCGGAGGCCCTGAGGGGGTTTTCCCGCCTTTTCCACTTTTCCCTTTTCCTGAAGGGAAAAGCGGCCGCCGTGAGGTGAATTTACCCTTCTTTGCCCAGGATGCCCAGGAGACGCTGTGCCCTCACGCTCTGAGGTGAAAACAACCTTTAAATAATTTTTTCCTTAATTTTTCCCCCTTGTTTTTGTCTTATTGTGGCGAGGAAAGGGGGATTTGAAGGAGGGGTTTCCAGCTTTGAGGGCTGTGCTGTGCCCTTGTCCTGTGTCTGTTTAATTCCGCCTTGGCATCAAAGGAGAGGTGGCAAATTGAAGGGTTTTTGAGCCCTTTTAAGTGCTCTTTCCTTGGAAAATCCCCTGAGGAGGGAGAGACAATTATCCACCTTTTACCTCACGGGAGCCAAATTTTGGTGCCTCTGGGTGCAAATAAACTGTTTTAACAGCAGAATGTACTAAAGCGGGTATGAAAATTCTCCCCATTTTCCTTTTTTGACCCAGGATTTCACCTCTCTTTTTCTTTCCTTAGTACAGATTCCCTTTCTCCCACCCTTTATTTTTTTTAACCAAGGATTTTTCGCCATTTTTAACCCAAAATTTCTCCACCTGCACCGAGGGGAACCCGACGCCTTCTTCGCCCTCCCGGGTAAGAAACAACCCCTAAATCCCCCCAAAATGGGGAAAAAACCACCCCCTTGGGTTACAAAACCCCCAAACTCGGTGGTTTTCCCCCCCAAAAATCACTTTTATGTTGTTTTTCTCCTCCCCAGGGAAACCCTGATGAAGGAATTCCTCCCGACCGACGTTTGCTGCGGGGTCTCCAGCGAGGTCAGTCCTGCCAAAAGCACCTTGTTATTATGTTTCTTGTATAAAACCACTATTTTTGCCTGAATTTAGCTGCTCTTTTTTGCCCCAAATGGCTGTTTTTCTCCCCATTTTGCAGGACCTGCTGGCCATGGCACTGATGAGCTTCGAGTGTGTGGGGCTACAACCCCCTCAACCTCTTCACTGCCCTGTGAGTACCTTAATTAGGGACATAATTACCCCTGATTTGGGGTAAAACCCGATAGAATCGGGGCCTTCCCAGACTTGCTGATTTGGGGTAAAAC